TACCTAGAAACAAATTAAAATTAAAACACAACTTTACAAAATTTATGAGATGCACAAAAGTAGTTACAAAAGGAAAGTTCATAGCTACATAGGCCTACCTCGAGAAGTAGAAAAATCCCAAATAAATCATCTAAATTTACATCTAAAGAAACTAGGAAAAGAAGACCAAAGTAAGTAGAAGGAAGGAAATAATAAACAGAGCAGAAGTAAACAACATAGGGAATAGAAAAACAATAGAAAAGATCAGTGAAACTAAGAGCTGGTTCTTTGAAAGGATAAAATTGACAAGCCTCTAGCAAGATTCATCAACAAAAAAGAGAGAAATAAAATCAGAAATGGAAGACAAGAGTTCACAACCGACACCACAGAAATACAAAGGATTATTAAAGAATACCAAGAACAGTCGTACACCAACAAATCGGACAATCCAGAAGAAATAAATTTCTAGAAACATACAACCTTCCAAGAAACAGAGAATCTGAACAGACTGATTACTAACAATGAAGTTGAAGCAGTAATCATTTAATCTTTAAGTACTTTAGTGTGCATCTCAAATGTAAGGGCATTTTTCTTACATAAACAAAATGCTATGACTACACCCGACTAAATTAATAGTAAATCTTTTTTTCATATATTTTTAAATTGAAGTATAACTTACATTAAATGAAATATACAAAACTTAAGTGCGGCCTCAAGGAATTGTTTTCTTCTGTTTATAAATCCACATAAACTTCAACCAGAACAAGACCTAGGACATCAAACAATAAGACCATACAAGTAGGTTCTCTTGTGCCTTCCCTAAGTCTGTATTCCACTAAGGATCACGACTGTCTGACTTCTATTACCATAGCTTCAATTTGCTTATTTTAAAACTCCACGTAAATGGAAACATACGATATGTATTATTTTGTGTCTGACTTCTTTAACTCAGCATTATGTCTGTGAGCTGCAAAAGGTATCACAGTTGTTTCTGGGTCCAAACAGACTAAATGTCTGACCATGGGACACCAAGTAACTATATGAGCTTAGCTCTCTGTTATGCACTGACCCACCAAATCATGAAGTTGGGCATGGGCAGCAGTACACACCTTCGAGAGGAGGTACTGCACATGTCCCAGGCTTCAGTGAAAGGAGATACACCATTAGGGCATTATGACCCAGTGGATCCAGTAGAGGTCCAGGAGATTGTAGAAAACAGATGTGGAATCTAGCCTCTGGTAAGCCCCAATCAGAGACCCAGGGTTATTAGACAATAGCATGTCCTACTCTGCAAATACCTTTTCTCCATTTGGGGCAGCTGCAGTAAGTTCCCTTGAAAGTGTGTGCTCACTGCTTCGCTCTCCCAACTTCAGTGACTCGGTGGACCAGGTAACACTGATTAGAGGACAGCCTGACGGGTTACTAATGGGTTGATAAATGAGTCAGGGAAACACATGAAAAAATTGCATACATTGCCTCCCAAATTTAAAAGGCACTCAGCAATATGCCACTGACATAGTAGACATAAAAGATAAAGCAACTTGCCTTTCACTTGAGAATGTTATCTTTGTGTATTTCCCCACCTACAGAGGACAGTGTCCACAGAGCTTTCCAGAGATCGTGCTGCTGCCCTCGTTGATCGTCTTTTCACTGCATGATAAAGACCTTCTCCTCTGGATCCTCTCATGGTGTGGGTGAGAAACATGTGACAAATCCCATGCAACATAATTATTCCTAAGCCTTTGGATTTTTCATTTGTTTTTTATATTGTATCAAGGAAGTTGATTCAGCTCCATTAAATATAATCCACCATTGTCTTGCTTTTATGCAACCAAATGAGCATTCTGTTAATGCTGCTCCAAGCTTCTCAAGCCGGTATATTGAATCCAGAACTACCTACATCATTACATTTGGCCCAATCCAATGTGGTGACTCTCTCTCTTTGGAGCATCACCTTCAGAATATATTTGCATACACATTTCCTGTCCTTCTGTCAATATTATTTAGCTGTATAATCCCACTGTTTTGGAATTGGTCACTGGAAAATAGCTTGAAATACATATAATAACACCTTCCAGTATTACTCATAATTGAAAACATACAACAACCTAAAATGTTAGCTTAACTAATTCATACTTGACTAGATGTTGCACCTGACATTGACATTAAATGTGTTGTTTTGAAGACTTTAAAGTACTGGAGCAAATGCATATGCTTAAATGCTAAATGAAAAAGAAGATACTTATTTGTGTGTGTATATAATGTGATCAGAATTCAAAAAATTTATGACAAAAAGTTTTCCAATTCTTGTAGCATGAAAACAGCTCTTTATTTCAGAATCTCTCTACATTTATTTCTAAAACTCATATAAAGAACAAAAGAATAAAAAAATATAATTACACAGGAAATATCTATTATGTAATGCAGAACACAAAGAAACCTATAAACTCCCACTTACATGTAAGCAGGGTGAAAAGGAAGGCGAAACCAGCAGAATAATTTTCCTACCATGTACACTAGAAAAACTTTAAATGTTTGACAATGCTATGTGTTAATACTTATGAAAACTGGATATACTGTTATTGGAGTGAGTGATTATACAACCTTGGAAACAATTTTGGAGATATACGGTAAATTTGAAAAAGTACACGTCTTATGATCCAGGAATTTTACTCTTAATTATGCATCCAGAAACATTTTAATTAATGTTCCTAAGAAGACATATACTAGAATATTCATAACATTATTGCTTATAATAGTAAGTATGGAACAAAATTCAATTTCTATCAATAGGAGAATGGATTAATAATTATGACATAGTCCATCAATTAAATGCTATAAACAGTGAAAATGAATAAAATAGAGTTACAGCTGTCAGTGTAGTTGAATTTTCTGAAACATATTTTGGAAAAAATAGAGTATAATAGATTTTACATAAATTTTAAAACATGCAAGCAATATTGTCTATTTTTTGGAATGTATTAAAAAATACATGGGAAATATCAACATCAAATTGAGGAGAGTGGTTACCTCTGGTAAGAAGGGAGAATATGATCAGGAATAAGGATTGAGGTGGCCATAATTATATGTAAAAATTTTTTTTTTTAATCTATGCAATATCGTAACTATTTGGTTTTAGTTTCCAGTTTCTGAGACAGAGCTCCTAAATCCTTAGTAGTCTCCTGAGTAATAGAGGTGAAAGGTGTGTCTTTTGCTTTAATAAGGAGACTCTTGGCGGATCCCTACATAACTTCAGGATGGATGCTGGTCATCAGAAAGACTAAACCTTGATTAGAAGGCTGGAACTTTCAGCCCCACTCCCCAAACTCTGGGGAGGTGAAGGGGGCTGGAAATTGAGTTAATAACCTACATGCCTATGTGATAAAACCTCTGTAAAACACTCTAAACAATGGGGTTTTAATAGCTTCTGAGTTGGTAAACATGTCCTATGTGCTGAGACAGTGGCATATCCCAGCTCCATGGAGACAAATGCTCCTGCACTTGTGACACTTGCAGACCCCGCCCTACATTCCTCTCCATCTGGCTGTTCATCTGTATGTTTTAGATAGCCTTTATAATAAACTGGTACATGTAAGTTAAGTGTATTGCCGAGCGGTGTGAACCATTCTTGCTAATTATCAAATCTGAGAAGGGCAACGTGTGATTTATAGTTAGTTGGTCAAAAGTACAGGTGGTTTAGTACTTGAGATTGGTGTCTGAAGTTGAGCAGTTTTGTGGGACTGAGCCCTTTAGTTGTAGGATCTGATGCTAATTCTGGGTAGATAGTGTCAGAATTGAATCAAATTGTAGGATGCCCAGCTGGCATATGAAAAGCTGGAGAACTGGTTGGTACGGAAAACACCTACACTTTTGGCTTTAGAAGTGTTATGGGTAAAAAAGCAACCCTGAATTTCTTATGGTGCGTAAGAATGGGAATTTGGCTATTGACCAGATTATTCTCTATACTTTTTATGTAATTGAAATATTACTGCAAATATTTTTTAAGCAGTGCGGCTGGGGCATGGCATGCAATGTGTGAAATCATGCAGAATGAAGATTCAGAGGTGAGGAATGGCCAGAAAGTTTGGAGACTCGATGGACATGGAAAGGATTTGGGGTTTTACCCTAAGAGAAATGGGGAGCCATTCAGGAGTTTTGAGCAGGACAGTGATATAAGCAGATGGACATTTTGCAAGGAGCATTCTGGCCACCTCGTGAAGAATAAACTGAAGAAGCACACACATGAAATTTGAGAGATCTGTTATGTGTGGTTTTTTTCAAGGAAGATGATAGGATCATTATTCGTATTTCAGCATCCAGTATAGACTAGGGGACATATAAGGCAGCCAACAATATGAATTACAGTATTATAACTGGAAAGAGTTTAGGGATAGTCATAATCTTTCCTTTTTTACTGACACTAATGGCTATGAGATTAATTATTCCAAATGTAATTTTCATTTATTTTCTTACACAAAATACTACTGTTTTGTTCACTCAATTCTCATTTTAAAGTTGACATCCTGATATTTACTTTTCCCCTTTGTCTATCTCATTTAATATCTCTATTTTTCAATAGCCTCTCACTACATCCAGATCACTCTTTATCATTTCCCCCTAATGCCTTGCCTCTTTCTGCTTCTCCGTTTGTTTCAACTGCTGCCTTCTACTATCTCTCCTTCCTTCTCTCTATGCATCTGGGTGCGTGAGGAACTTAAGATCTGGATCAGAACTTGCCTCTTGCAAACTATGACCAGCTTCACTGCTCAAAGAGCACTTGGCTTTCCTGATATTTCAGATATCACCCCCAATGGGTTTATGCTCAGTTTCACCTCATTACCCAGCCTCGCTGTCCTCTCCCCACTTGCTCCTCAAAGATGAATTCACTGTAACCTCCTTTCGTCCTGCCTCAGGTGCCATCATTGTCCCAGATTTAAACTTGACTCAAATAGAAGTTCTATGAGCAGCTTCAGCCCCATATATCTCTCATCTTTTATACCCCACCCTCCACCCCAAGTGAACTTGATGAAATAAGAAAAGCCCAACCTTTGGTCTCTGGGGCTCCTGGGTCCTGCACTGTCCACTGTACCCCCGAGCAGGCCGACATTGTCCCACTCCTGAGTACTTGTATCTTATTCTGATTCCAGGCTTAAGATTGACCCCAGTCCTCCATAGGGCCTTATTTCTGATAACTCAGTTGTGGTTCTAGACCTTACGACCCCCGATTTCTCTCTTTGCCTTGCCCTTATAGACCTGTGGTTTTCTTAAATTTCCATTCTGAGTTTCCATTCTGGTAACCAGTCTATTTGCTGCCATCTGAAGGGATGGGCGCAAAAAGATACTCTTTTTGCGCCCATCCCTTCAGATTGTAGTCTCTTCAGTGAACCTCAGCTCCCAGATTTAGGGCCCTGCTCGCCTCGAAGAGAGAGATAGGGTCTGCATGGCTGATTGCTGATCCCTGCTCTGTGGCCCTCTAAGATGCTCTCATCTGACCATTTGTCTGACACTTGGACAGAAGGTGCAGGGTCAGCATGGATGATGAGCCCTGTCTCCACCCTGGGAGTTGTCAGGTCCTTGTTGCTATTTGGAGCCTGATTTCCAGTAGTCTCTGTCCTTGTGGGCAGATCTGATTCCAGGTGGCACCGCCTTAGCCTTGCCGAAGGAATGAAAAGGGAGAATTATGTAAGATTTCCAGAGTTCCTTTTCGTCAGGAGCGTTTTCAAGGGGAGTAGTCACAGTGCCACTCGAAGGCAGTAGGGGTTTTCTCGTGTCTTTCTATAATTAAAACCTCACTTCCTTCTAAGGTGGATCCCAGTTTAGTGAGTAATTATTTATTATTTCATTTAATCCACACTTGCACTGATGCACAGAGTTGCTTTTCCACAAGTCATTTTAAATATTTTTCGGGGTTGCAGATATAAAGAGAAATGGCATGAACTGAAAACTATTCTTAGAGTTAAGCTTGTGATATTGAAGCTCAAAAATGGACAGAAAGCATGGAAAATACATAGTGAATGTTGAACACTCTGAAAACCAGCCAGTGAGTATTGTTGCTCTGCTTTAATATTTTGCCTATATGACAGTCTTATTTTCAGCATTTAAAAGCAACTTAATTTCTTTACTATTATGTAGTCAATGTCATAATTTTGCATTCTTCTCTAAAAGGAAAAGTAGTCATGTATTTTTTTTACTTCAACTTTTCATGCTACAGTCTACTATATTATACTTTAGACATTATTTTATATACTACTGATATAAAGCATTAGAAATAGTTCTATGACCACATGATATACAGATAAATCCATTTAACTTTTTACATTTACTGTCTTCATTCACCAACTTTGGTTTAGTTTTGAAGTTATATTTTTACAATTTTTTCTTAGATTTTATATGTAATTTCTAAACCTGTCAGAACTCAGATTTCTAGATGTGCTAGAAATCCTGACATTAACCCTGGATATTGTCTTTAGGCCAAAGAAAGAAATCTTCTGAAAATCACTACTCTGTATAAAAATATGATCTTTTTGTCTATTTTAAAATGTTTTTCACCAAGAATCAAGCCTTAACTATATAGTTATAAGTACTCTATGTATCTGGTTATGTCTCAAAAAATAATCTTTGATATCAGAACAAAGGGTGGACATGTTCTAAAAATTAAAATAGTAAGTTAAAATTTATCTCCTGAAGAATAAATGAAATATTTTGCTTTTGCAATTTGGAGCTATGGCAATCAGCCTGTATTAATCACCTGTAAGATAAGTCAAAGAAGAAAATTCTGTTGCTCAGTGAATATTGAATAAAAAGACCCCATAGACTATTCTTGGTTCACCAAAAGAGAAGAGGTTTCTCTTTTTGAGGGATTGAACAAAGGAGTCTTCTCAGGATGTTCTTTTTTGTCACTTCTGAGTTCAAGACTCTAAAACGGATCTTCGGGATGCCAAAACATGAAGATGGCAAGAAAAACATCCCTTTAGCCAAGTATTCGTCATCTTTATAGCTTCTCTAGATAACAGCGAACTTGAAGATGTCCACACATACTATCTAAAGTTGCTTTTACAGCATGTATCTGGAGAGCTGACTGAATATTTTACTTTATTATGGACAATTTAGGGCACAGTTATAGAAATATTTTTCTCTTATGACCAAATTTAAGTGAAATTTAAGAATTATTTGAAGATTATAAACAAAAAGAAAATATATGTTGGTGTTTTGTTTTCCTGTTGGGGTATATGATATCTTAAGTTAATCTTTATGAAGTTAGGGGAAAACTTATAGAACTATTTTGGTAGCTACAGCAAATACACTTCCGTTGCCTATGGCCATTATTAGCTAAGACTGAACATTGGATTAAACATTATTCACAGCATTATTCACAGCTCTCCAATGACTCAAATTTAGTATAAAGACTCTACTTGTGATAAGAGCCAGAGCAACCCAAGACAGTAAATATTATTACTTGGGCTGAAATATTACCCAGAAGCTGAGCCTAGATCACACAGGTTCTCCACTTTAGTGTAGATGCTACCTATCATCTTCATTCTTTAAAAGGGTTGGGATTCTAAAATGACTAAAATATTCCAGGAAACAGGCCTGGTAAGTGAATTTTACTTTGTTTACAAAGTGTATTAAAATATTATCAGCCGCAGGCAAACTGGGTAATAACTAAAGCAACGGAATCAGCACTTAGGAAAGTAAGCAAGGCTGTTATTAAAGGTAAGTCCGACTTTGCTCAAATGAAATGGACTTCATTTAATCTAATTCAATACAACATAGGGCTTTTTCTTCATTTCTTTTAAATAACACATAGAAAAATCTAACTTCACAAACTCTTTACTGGCAAGAGTATTCTCTTATCTATATTTAATAACAATCATTTTTTGTATTGTTAATGATAGTTGCTAATGGTCCAATGACTACATACAATTTTAGTCTGACAGTTTTACAAAACTCATTGGTTGATGGAATAGAAATTTTTATAGCTATTTAGTAATGGGTTATTAAATTAACATGATCAAAGACAACTAGTAGTCATAGCAGCAGTAATAA